ATATACTGTGAATATGGAAATTCATAAAAGACCAACATTTGAATAAAATGTGTTGACAAGATTGGTTTTGATTAATGATATGTAAATTGTTGTTTAATTCTGATAAGTTAATAATCTTTAATAACAATGTCTCATTGAAAATGGCTCAGGTGAACATGCAAACAATTATAATACAAATTTCTCAAATTTACATTAGGAAAAAAAGATGCATACATTTAATATTTATATAAACAATGTGCATAGTTTAAATATCAAATGTTTAATCTTTTTGAAGTTACAGATTACACAAATTATGCACCATCAGTACATCATAATCTTCGAAACAAATTATATAAAGCCAAGTATAACATGTCAAAAATCATATTATAGTGATTTATAAGTTCCCAAATTTGGCAAAAATAAAAGTGCACATAATCAATACAATAAAGAAACCATGTAAAGGGAAAAAGAACCACACAATAATAATATTTATAATATACATAAATTTGTATGAAACAGCAATCAACATAATGATATATAAACACTGTGTAAATTATTAATATCATAGGTTGAATCGTTTTCTAGTTACACAAAGTTAAGATAATAAAAACCATACTTTTCTAATAAAAAAAGCCAAGTTCAACATGCCAAAATTTATATTGAAAATTTCTCAAAGAATGAAGTACGTTTGGGCTATATATTGGCCTTTCAATTTGGCAATAAAAATAAATGGTTTTATGTTATATTTTGTAGCTGTTTAAACGTCAGTATTGCCCAAATATCCAAGATATGAATTTCGCTTTTCTTTGTGATTACATTGAGTTTTATTATGACATCACAATTTTAATTCATAATTTTCTTAATTGTCCATTTTGAGCAAAAAGCTGTTATTTTTAGCTCACCTGACCTGAAAGGTCAAGTGAGCTTTTCTCATCACCCGTCGTCCGTCGTCCTGCGTCCGTCGTCCGTCGTCCGTCGTCCGTAAACTTTTACAAAAATCTTCTCCTCTGAAACTACTGGGCCAAATTTAACCAAACTTGGCCACAATCATCATTGGGGTATCTAGTTTAAAAAATGTGTGGCGTGACCCTGTCAACCAACCAAGATGGCCGCCACGGCTAAAAATAGAACATAGGGGTAAAATGCAGTTTTTAGCTTATAACTCAAAAACCAAAGCATTAAGAGCAAATCTGACATGGGGTACAATTGTTCATCAGGTCAAGATCTATCTGCCCTGAAATTTTCAGATGAATCGGACAACCCGTTATTGGGTTGCTGCCCCTGAATTGGTAATTTTAAGGAAATTTTGCTGTTTTTGGTTATTATCTTGAATATTATTATAGATAGAGATAAACTGTAAACAGCAATAATGTTCAGCAAAGTAAGATTTACAAATAAGTCAATATAACCGAAATGGTCAGTTGACCCCTTTAGGAGAAATTGCCCTTTATAGTCAATTTTTAACCATTTTTCGTAAATCTTAGTAATCTTTTACAAAAATCTTCTCCTCTGAAACAACTGGGCCAAATTGAACCAAACTTGGCCACAATCATCATTGGGGTATTTAGTTTAAAAAATGTGTGGCGTGACCCGGCCAACCAACCAAGATGGCCGCCACAGCTAAAAATAAAACATAGGGGTAAAATGCAGTTTTTGGCTTATAACTCAAAAACCAAAGCATTTAGAGCAAATCTGACATGAAGTAAAATTGTTTATCAGGTCAAGATCTATCTGCCCTGAAATTTTCAGATGAATCGAACAACCTGTTGTTGGGTTGCTGCCCCTGAATTGGTAATTTTAAGGAAATTTTGCTGTTTTTGGTTATTATCTTGAATATTATTATAGATAGAGATAAACTGTAAACAGCAATAATGTTCAGCAAAGTAAGATTAACAAATAAGTCAACATGACTGAAATGGTCAGTTGACCCCTTTAGGAGTTATTGCCCTTTATAGTCAATTTTTAACAATTTTTCGTAAATCTTAGTAATCTTTTACAAAAATCTTCTCCTCTGAAACTACGTGGCCAAATTAAACCAAACTTGGCAACAATCATCATTTGGTTATCTAGTTTTAAAAATGTGTGGCGTGACCTGGTCAACCAACCAAGATGGCCGCCACGGCTAAAAATAGAACATAGGGGTAAAATTCAGTTTTTGGCTTTTAACTCAAAAACCAAAGCATTTAAAGCAAATCTGACATGGGGGTAAAATTGTTCATCAGGTCAAGATCTATCTGCCCTGAAATTTTCAGATGAATCGGACAACCCGTTATTGGGTTGCTGCCCCTGAATTGGTAATTTTAAGGAAATTTTGCTGTTTTTGGTTATTATCTTGAATATTATTATAGATAGAGATAAACTGTAAACAGCATTTATGTTCAGCAAAGTAAGATTTACAAATAAGTCAATATAACCGAAATGGTCAGTTGACCCCTTTAGGAGTAATTGCCCTTTATAGTCAATTTTTAACCATTTTTCGTAAATCTTAGTAATCTTTTACAAAAATCTTCTCCTCTGAAACAACTGGGCCAAATTAAACCAAACTTGGCCACAATCATCATTTGGTTATTTAGTTTTAAAAATGTGTGGCGTGACCTGGTCAACCAACCAAGATGGCCGCCACGGCTAAAAATAGAACATAGGGGTAAAATTCAGTTTTTGGCTTTTAACTCAAAAACCAAAGCATTTAAAGCAAATCTGACAGAAGTAAAATTGTTTATCAGGTCAAGATCTATCTGCCCTGAAATTTTCAGATGAATCGGACAACCCGTTGTTGGGTTGCTGCCCCTGAATTGGTAATTTTAAGGTAATTTTGCTGTTTTTGGTTATTATCTTGAATATTATTATAGATAGAGATAAACTGTAAAAAACGATAAATGTCGGCAAAGTAAGATCTACAAATAAGTCAACATGACCGAAATTGTCAGTTGACCCCTTTAGGAGTTATTGCCCTTTATAGTCAATTTTAACCATTTTTTCGTAAATCTTAGTAATCTTTTACAAAAATCTTCTCCTCTGAAACTACTGGGCCAAGTTAATTATAGATAGAGATAATTGTAAGCAGGAAAAATGTTCAGTAAATTAAGATGTACAAACACATCACCATCACCAAAACACAATTTTGTCATGAATCCATCTGCGTCCTTTGTTTAATATTCACATAGACCAAGGTGAGCGACACAGGCTCTTTAGAGCCTCTAGTTATTGTTTTTTGTCAGAATTGAAAGTGGCTGCATGTTACGTTCATTGAAAATAATCTCAATATAACTGTGCTAGTGCTAATAGTCATTCAAATGTCACAGGAAAGAAACTGTACAAATAAACAGTTAAAAAACATCTATAAACAATATATACCCAGGTTTCTCTAACAAATACTCTGTTTCTATATGCTTAGATTACATACATTCTATAATCAACTGTACTCATTCCATTAATCACTGCTATTTGTTGCATAACATCTATGAAATAGTCAGATTAATACAAATTTTATATTTACAACAACATCAACAACTGCAAGAACCCCACAACAAGATCACAGTACATAAAACCAAAGTGTACAACCAAATGACTGAGTATTTTCATCATTTGGTGAGTTATTTTAGTCGACAAATAATACAATAAACCCAAAATTGGCATATTTTCAAAATTAAAATACTTGATCAGCCAATGAACCAACTAAAAGTAAAACTAAATGGTAATTTAAGGAGAATATTTCTACAGTAAAGGGAATTATAAAAATTATAAAATTTTATTTTTCGGATGTTGCCTATTTTGACCAGTGAGTATCCAAAGAATTTGCTACAAAATGACCGAACAAATACATTTTTTAAAGATGCTAAATCTCAACCGTTTTAAACATTAATTAGTATTTTGAATAAAATGAAAAGAATGATGGGTATATTTCAGTCTCCTTTAAACACATATCTACAAGGATTATATTGCAAATAGTTCTACAACTTGACCATGCTTTGTTACTCATTTTGCATGAAAATGACAAAATTTACTCAAAATACAAAAGACCGTTCACTTCCATTGGTACTGAGTGAAGATAACACCTGCACATTTAAGACCAATGCAGAAAATTATACCACAAAATTTATACATGCATATTTGTCACATACAAAGAATTGTGTACGGGTGATACACATAAATACATTGTACTCAGCATTTTGAGCAGGCAATACATATTTAATACTAAAAAACTATGGTAACTAGACAATTGACTTGAAGTATTTGAAATACATTGCACAAGGTTGTTTCTTGTGAGACCATTCTCAAGACTATATCAATTGCACAATAAGTGTATTCTATGATCATGATGATGTAACACACTAATATTCTAAAGATACATCACAACCTCAAACTTAGACATCAATAACTGTGAGTTGCATAGAAAATGGTTAATGAGGTAAGAACTTGGTAAAACATTGAATATATAAGCTCAGTTTATGGACTTTTAGTTCCTTCTATAAAAAAGCAAATAGCTCTGGCCATCCATTGCTTTAACGGATGATAAAGAAACCTCTTCAATCTGAAAGAAAACAATCAAATTTAAGCAATAAGGCATATTACAAAGCTGATAATCCAATGATCAAACATGTGGCTATTAAAGAATATATGTGTAATACCAAACTTAAAACTTCATATCAAACTGTATATCAATCCATTCATTTAATATCAAGGAGCTAGCTGATTTTATTGTACAATTACTAATGATTTATAGGGGGCCAACTGTTAGTCTGTCCCCAGGTATGGTTACTCCCTGCCATTCATTGAAGACCTTAGGGTGGCCTTGGTTGTTTTGTCCATTGAATAGTTTAGGAGGATTTGCGCTTACAAGAATATTAACTTGAATTTCAAAATTAAACTAAATAAATTAGATTATCTCCTCTTTTACAAAGAGGACCTGGTTTATCTTGCTTCTTGCAGATACTCATGTCATGCACTACAACTGTGCAAAATTTATCAATATCCATCCAGACGTTTAGGAGGAGATGCAATTACAAGGTATGCTGGAGGTATACTAATTAGTAAACATATTTTGTGTCTGTTCCTGTAAGTCTTAAGTTTTTAATTGTTATACAAACCCTCATGTCATCTACACAATACCAGTGTCCTCCAAACTGTATATATGCATAATAATGCCCACTTTTTAAAGTTCCCCCTTTGTGGACTATCACTGCAAAAAGGTCAGCCTTGACTTCTTGACCCTACAAAATGATCAGAAACATTTATTATTCAGTATTCCAAAGTAACCCTGTCTTACATAGTCGGACGTGGCCTAGCTGAGCTTCTGCTGGATCCTATCCTTTGAAAGTTGACAAATTCTCTGTTCTAAAGGTGTTCTAGTATATATCTACCAACTTCTATTAGTTTTTGGCTATTAAAAATTAAAATTTTTACCATTTAAGATATAACACTTTTGTTAATGTCCAGCATGAGGTATTTCTCTAATTCGAAATTATTTTTAACTTTGTGATACATTCTTAGTTTAATACCATGATTATCTTTATTAGAGTCACAAAAGAGCTTGTTTCCAGGATTTTATGAACTTAATGATACGTACAGAGACCTTTGTTGAAAAAAGTGTTTCTGTTAATGACATTTTTGAAATCAGTGCAATATCATTATTTTAATGAAAGTACATACATTATTGTCCTCAACATAATCTTTTTTAAATCAATCCTGAAATGGAGTTCTATCTGCTTTAGCACTTTTCTCTGTGTACTTGTGGACCTGTAAGGACAAAGTATAACCAAATGATAGCATGATTTTAAATAGATGTAAATATGCTCAACAGAATGACTGTACTTAAATTGTTGTATTATGAAAACTTGAGTTACTAATTTTAGGAAAGGTATTTGGCAAGTATGAAGGATACATAAAAACACATTTATATTTTTAATTGACAAAATTTTTCTGTCGAAAAAATAATATAATCTATTTTTTTTCTTATACATTGTTTTAAATCTATTATTATTACAGATCATCAAAGCTAATGGTACATATTGACAACTAAAAGAAACCCATTTTACCCCTTACATGACTTAGAAACATGTTGTATCAGTTTATACACAAATAAAAGAACTAAATATGATCCAAGATGTATCAAGACACAGTCAGACTAGAATTTCTGACTTGGTGCAGGTGCAAAAATGTTGTGAAATTAGACTAGTTTGTCAACAATTTTTAATTCAATTGTAACTATTAGAATAATAAAACTACCTTTGTAACTGAATAATGATATTCTTTGGCACATTCAGCATACTTTTTGACACTGTTGCTGATGTATTTTTCTGGCAACAGATAAACAAAAATAATGTTAAAATATAAGACTTAGTAAAATGCACACATGATTTTTATAATACAAACAAACACCATTTAAATAAACCACATACTATCAAATGTAGAATATTGACAATAATAGAAAATAAAGATATGACAAAAAAGATTGTATGAACACCACAGAATATATTAAATTTGATGTCAGGTGCCTATATCAAAGTGTATACAGTAAAAAGACATGACATTCCTTGCTATAAAACAGGAATCTGATGTCAGGTGTCTATATCAAAATGTATACAGTAAAAAGACATGATATTCCTTGCAAGAAACAGGAATCTGATGTCAGGTGTCTATATCAAGGTGTTTACAGTAAAAAGACATGACATTCCTTGCAAGAAAACAGGAATCTGATGTCAGGTGTCTATATCAAGGTATATACAGTAAAAGGACATGATATTCCTTGCAAGAAAACAGGAATCTGATGTCATGTGTCTATATCAAGGTGTTTACAGTAAAAAGACATGACATTCCTTGCTATAAAACAGGAATCTGATGTCAGGTGTATATATCAAGGTATATACAGTAAAAAGACATGACATTCCTTGCAAGAAAACAGGAATCTGATGTCAGGTGTCTATATCAAGGTATATACAGTAAAAAGACATGATATTCCTTGCTAGAAAACAGGAATCTGATGTCAGGTGTCTATATCAAGGTGTATACAGTAAAAAGACAAGATTCTTATGCAGAAACAAATTGAAAACTTACCCACTACATTTTTTCTCAACCTGCTCATCCTTAAAGAATCCTGCCAGTGCATGACTTATAGTTTGGTGCTGAAAGTAAACCACTAATAATCAATATTCCATTGCAATAAATGAATGCATAGTGATATAAACTAGATAATTCTGATGGGTCACATCAAAGTAATTTTGTATTATATTTGTTAAGTTCTTAATTAGTAAATAACTTGCCTCTGTTATTGAAACACCAAATTCAAAAAACTCCTGACTGCGGGATGATGTGTTCTTACACTTATTGCAATTCCCTGAAAAAAAAATGGATTGTTCACATCTTTTAAGCTTTCACTTCATTTTATTACATCAGTTACATTGTGTAATACCACTTTAACATCATGAGTGTTTACATGTGAAATACCCCCACATGGTTATCTAATAATATACAAAGTTTCAAGGAAATTAAGTTATTAAGAGGAGTTGTGGTCAATGTACATTTGAGCAGACAAAAAAAACCCTTACTTCATGTGCAGGGGTACATGTATAAAGTAAAACATAATGTAGTTACAAAATCAACTTGTCCTTACCCTGTGAAAATGTATGACCAAAAGTACATATGTTTTATAAACATAAATATGGTGTATAATATGAATCACAAAATATATTGATACAAAACAGAATTTTTGTTCCAAGTTCTTAATGATCAATGCATTGCACCTCAATACTGATAACATTTGTAGTGCATCATCAGATTCTATCATATATTTTCCTTTTCTTATTCCTTTTCTTTTTTTAAATATGTATCAGTTTAAAAAAGTATGTGTAGTGTGATAATATGTAACTGTTCAATAAAAACAATCAATACTTTATTTCTAGGAGGGACCTTCTAAAGGAAATTTGTTCAAGCCTAATCATGGTTAACTCCCCTATAAGCTAATGAACATACCAGAACATAATATATATTTTCAAGCAGTCATTAATTAATCTCGCCATAGGTCAATATCAGCATTTAAAAGCTTAATTGTTTCTTTAAGTACACAGTGTATGTATAATACAAAGAGTCATTAAATTAATCTTACCTAGTTACCTTATACAAAATTATATGTAAAGAATTTCAAATTATATACCTTTTTATCCTTTGCTATACAGACAATAGACAATTTTTATTTGCTCAAACACATATATGGCAATCAATAAACAAAACATATAAAGGAAAACACACAATAATGATGTGATATACAAAAATTTGTATGAAACTGTGACAGTGGTACAAAGTGAAAAATTCGACAGGGGAACTGGATTAGGGTATTTTTTAAGGTTTTCAATGAAACTCTGTCTCTGTCTCTGTGATGCATATAGTGGACACATTGAGAAGAAATGATGTTCATCCTCATCATTACCACAGTCTACTATTACATTACAAACAAAGGCGTTTTTTCCTTACAACATTGTTACATCTACACTTCTCAATAGCTATAGGTTACAAGCACTTATATAAAATAGTTAATACCTGAAGGCTGATTTCTTAACTTTCTTTTCTTAGTCTTCTTAGTCTCTATTATACTATCAGGGTTAAGCTGATCGTCTCCTGAAATAATACAAATAACATGCAATGTAGATGATTTATACATTATACATTAGATTGATTGATTGTTGGTTGCTTAACGTCCAGTGGCAAATATTTCATGCATATTCAGGACGAGAACAAGTTCACAATAAATACAATAGGTAGGTTCTGTAATAGATTAAGGGATTAAGGTCGGAGAAATTTAGACTGCCACGGGAAATGAGGGTATATTGGATAGGGACAGAAATTTAGCCTTGCAACAGGTCACCTACGGACCCCTCAAAGAGTTGTTGCAAGGGTTCTTAACGTGCAAAGAGCGTGGCACTCTCTTTACAAGAGGCATCGGATTTAACGTCCCCATTCTGACCGGACGTGACTGCAAATTTGTACATCCCGCACAGCCAAACGGACGCCCCACTTCAGCACGGGTTTTACTGCCGGTCGGAGGAAGACCAATGGTGACCATACTTCTATTCCCCAGTCACCCTTGGGGGGTTATACATTAGAACGTAACGATATAAGTAAATGTAACAAATATAAAAGCACATCAAAAATAGATATGACAAGAAATTTCATTGGAAAGTGACACTATATATGATTTTCAATATGTGAAAAGTCCTTCTTTGACATAGAAAAATATGTTTGAAATGGCCCCAACGAATACAAGTGGTTAATTCACAAAAACATCAACATAGAATGTTTAATTGGATGCAAATCATGCATCCCTACATATGTTGTCAAAGATAAATAAAATTTAAACCAAGCATTAACTCTAATTGATATTTAATGATATTGTCAGAATTTAGCTGTACATATTATTCATTGGTACCAAGAACATTACATTGTATGAGGCAGATAGGTATTCATTATAAAAGTTTATTTAACACATGGTATGATCATACGTTCATAAAAATAATTATACATCACACGATTATCATGATAAAAGTAAAAATGAGTATGTTATTATTATTATCACATTAAATACAATTCATAACATAAAACTACATTATGAAAATAGAATATTAGAGTGTGTATTAATATTAAGTGATAATTGTAAACTATAAGCTATAATTGTATTCATTTACTGTACATAATTAACTACAAAGAATAAGAGGAATATAAGGATTATGAATGGAAAATGTGCATGATAATTAGTACAGAGATAAAAGAGCTAGAAAACTACTATATGCAAATATGACTGAGTACCCAAAGCGATGTGTTACATTACCAATGCAACCTGACGAATACTGAAAAAATAAATATTAAACATATATATATATTATTTATATAAAATGTTCAGGATAATTAGTACAGAGATAAAAAACATATAGTTACTTTTATAAATATATATATATCTCATTTTTACCAATTTTGGTTTCACAGGTGGTGATTGAGTACTTCCGAAGGTGACAATATATTATTCATGTTGAAATACATCATAAGTTAGGACAAAAACAATGAAGAAATTGCAATCAGATTGAAGATCAAATTCAAAACCAGCTCCGGTTTATCCTTAAATTTATATTCTAACCCTTATAATCATTTATTACATGTAATTAATGGTCATTGATCTACATGCAGTGTCTTTTTTTAAATCGCTGAAACAATGTATTTTTAGACTAGATAAAAAAATGTGAAGACTACCATTACAGAGGGTCCATCTCTTGACTAAGATATTTACCTGTGATGTAGATATTATTACCTGGATAATGGTAAGGCCACACCTTAAAATAATCATGACAAATTCCATCACTGAGACTACTCCAAAAGGTAAAAACTATATATATAAAAGTGGAATTTGTCACTATAGGACTGTATATGGGGAGGTGGCCTTATTATTATTAATTACCTGCTGGAGTGTTCTCTGTAGTTTCTTGTACACCCAGGTAGTTTTTCTCTGAAAAAAAAATGACAAAGCTGCCAACTTTTCTTCATTACGTATGAAACTCTTAATGATTATATGCCCTTTATGATATTTTGTTTGAAATGACTGTACCATGAGTCAGGACCATTGCAGTATCCATGTATCAACCTCGTAATTGATGATCTATTTGATCATTTTATTTGGACTAGGAATTTTAATTTTGAATCAGATTACTGTGAGGTAATTTTGTTATTACAATTATCATATGCTTATCAGCATGAATATTTAGAGACATAAAAACATTATAAATTCTCTATCAATGTTGACTTATTATTTAAGTGATTATGTCACAGAATCATATTTTTCCCTCTTATAACTTGATTTACATTATGATTATGGGTAAGAACATCAAACTTACCTTTCACAGAAAGTATGGTAGCTGTGACATTTTTCTTCCTTGCTACTTTCTTTTTCTTTCTTTGTGGTAATGGTCGAACAGTAGAGGTTAATGTTGATGATTTACCATTGTGGAGAGGAAGACTGTCACTTTTTTCAACCGTGGATTTTAATTTGGTTATTAGTTCTTCCAAAACATTGTTTGCATTATTTAGCACATCTGAGCTTTGTGAGAGAAAACTCAGGTCATCCATTACTTTTAAATTCTGACGAAACTTTCCTCTAGCCTTACTAAGTAATGTGGTGTCAGAGTAATGAGGTAGATCACTTCCAGAATAATCAGGTTGAACTTCTAGCAATTCCAACATTTCACTTTGATCTATATTTTCAGTAGACACCTCTAATGCTCCTGATGACAGAAATTCTGTATCAAGTTGTAGATATGGGCTTTGAAT